AGTTATTATTACATTCAAATGATATCATTTTATCAAACAGATATACTTTCATGGAAGCCGTAAAAGCTACCTCTCATTTTATACTGATAGTCCTGATAGTCCTCATATTCCTCGTAAGTGTCAATCAAAACACAGACATATCACACATACCCAAACTTTTGGTACATGTCTCTTCTATCTTTTACATATTCTTTCTTTTCAAACATATAGCAATATTCTCTTTTACTCACTCTCTCCTTCTTCTTTATTTCTCTCTTACAGGCATTCTTCAAGGAATTAGTAAAAAAGACAATCAGGCTGACACAAGGAGAGTCATGTCTGTGTACCAATGGAAATTTGTCTAACAGGTAATAATAGGCAATTAGTATTAATTATCAATGTTGATTATTTTATTATTTTTAATTATTAGTAAACACAATGAGGTTGAAGGCCAACATACTTCTACAGGTAAAATTAAACAAACAAGTAGTGCTTCAAAAAATTCAAAAAATAAATTGGCTTAAAAATCAAAAAGTACTTAGCCCAATTTATGCATGTGTACAAATAATTATCCCAAAAATTAAATGACTAGTTATGTGTATACCGTATCGCTCCAAATTTTTGTCGGTCAAAATTTTCATTAAATTCGTCAGGTATTTTTATTTGAAAAAAAAATTTTAACTGGCAAAATTGTTGTTCCATGTGGGTAGTATGCGGATTAACAGCAAAAATAATGAAAATTTCATTGATGAAAATTAATTTTGACAAAATTTTTGACTGATGAAAATTTGGAGCTACATGTACATGTATACGGTATTCTAAACAAAGCCTACAATAATCAATGACAAGCAAATGAAGCATTGTTAGAGAGTGATACACATTACATTCGCATACAAATATGGTACTACACACTCATACATGTACATGTACATCATGAATGTATAGACACATGAACAGAAGCAACAATAACAAAATACATGTATAGTGACGTGCTTAAGTTACACAGCATGTACATGTACTGCACACTTATCAGTACTTATACTTATCAGACTATTTCTCATTATATCCATTTGGAAGGAAACCAGAATTTAGATGAGGAAGAGGACAAGCCAAACCAACACTTCAATGAAGAGCAGCCAAACTCATTGCCTCCAACCCAGTCACCACCTATCACCAGTCATAATGAAGACCAACTTGAAGATACCAGAATCAGTGGGACTACTGTTGAAGAAGAGCCAGAGGAAGAGATCGTAGTTGCATGCACAATCATTTTCTATATGATGGCACTCCTTCTACACAGCTACCAAAATACAATCACCGTTGACGAAAGAAAAGGACCTCATGAGTTAAATCAGCTTGTAAAATCACCTGAGGATAATGATTCTATTGATGAACAACAGTCCACAGAGCAAGTCAATGAGCCTCCGCCAATTCCCTCTCCAGCTCCTAATCCTCCAAATCCTTCTTCTGAGTATGCC